AGTAAACAGAACAGCACGCCTCTGAAATATGTCATCTTTGTTTGTCTCATACAGGTAACAGATTCATTGTCCTTTATTAGCTATAACCGATGTTGCCAAATGTTGAAATAGAAACGAATCCCTTTAAATGTTGAATGCATTATTTCATTTTTTTTTTAAGTATTTAAATGATTTTCTAAAGAAAATGGTTGAAAGAATAAGTTTAAAATGCGTTGTTTTAGAGCTCTTTTATGAAAACTACTTGATTTTCGTCAGGAGGAACATTCACCATTCTCAAATCCAGAAAAAAATTTGAGCTAGTGTTTCATTCAAATGTCAAAACGTCATCAAGTTTTGTTAAATTTCAGGAAAATTACGTATACCAATTATATTAGGGTCTTACAAAAATGGAACTTTATAGGTAATTATTATTTGAGTGGCGATGTTTTTCAAAAGTAAACTTTCCCATATTGTGAAAGAGGAGAAAAACAGTTTAAATCCTAATATCACTGACGAAAATTTATCTAAATGAACGTGGATTGATAATTGCTATGTTATTCACAACCAACTATCAAATTTCCACTTTTCCACGAACACCCAAGAACACGATATTCAATGAGACACAGGACATATACAAAATACTATGTTCCTCCTGCTCCAGAACCTACATCGGTCAGACCAACAGAAGAGTCTCCAACAGAGCCTATGAACATGAGATTGCTGTCAGTAAATCAGATCTAGTCGTATCCCTCATCATTGTGAAACAGTCCACACAATAAACTTGGAAAACGCCAAGATCATTGATGAATTGGTAAAGGCTTTCGTGTCCGATATTTTCAGTGTTACTATCTTCATTTGGGTTTGAAGGCCATCGTAGTATGGAACTGCATCCTTTAGAAGTGTTTTGCTTGTTCCACGATTTGGATGTTGGCATATCAGTTGGCTCATGCTATGCAATTTTTTCAGAAATTTCGAACTTGAAGCGTATGGCAGCGAAGTTCTTTCCAAATTGCTGATTTTTGACTAAAAAACCGTCGCAATATGAGTAGCAATACGAAGAAAACGTCCGGTATTGTGGAAAAACAATTCATGGCTTTTGCATTACGATAATGCAGCTGCTCACTCTTCATTCGTAATTTTTTGGTCATAAACAACACCGTAATCATGTCTCAGCCACTGTATTCACCAGATTTGGCCCCCTGTGACTTTTTTCTGTTTCCAAGATTGAAGAGGCCCATGAAAGGACGGCGTTTTGCGACGGTTGAGGAGATAAAAACGGAATCGCAGAGAGAGCTCAAGGTCATACCAAAAGAGCATATCGGTAGTGCTTCGAAGATTGGAAAAAACTCTGGCTACGCAAAAGCTATTTAGTGAAAGAATCTCTATTTGAATATGTACGCTGTCCAAAAAAAAAAGATGAATTTTCATTTTCCTCAAAAAAATTATCTATCAATTCATCAACTTCGAAAACACCAAGATCATTGATGAATTGGTTAAGGTTTTTGTGTCCGAAATTTTCAGTGTTACTATCTTCATTTGGGTTGTAAGGCCATCGTAGTATGGAACTGCATCCTTCAGAAGTGTTTTGCTTGTTCCACGATTTGGATGTTGGCATATCAGTTGGCTTATGCCATGCAATTTTTTCGGAAATTTCGAACGTGAAGCTTATGGCAGCAAAGTTTGTTCCAAATTGCTGGATTTTGACTAAAAAACCGTCGCAATATGAGTAGCAATACGATGAAAACGTCCGGTATTGTGGAAAAACAATTCATGACTTTTGCATTACGATAATGCACTTGCTCACTCTTCATTCGTAATTTTTTGGTCATAAACAACACCGTAATCATGTCTCAGCCACCGTATCGACCAGATTTGGCCCCCTGTGATTTTTTCTGTTCCCAAGATTGAAGAGGCCCATGATAGGACGGCGTTTTGCGACGATTGAGGAGATAAAAACGGAATCGCGGAGAAAGCTCACGGTCATATCAAAAGTACATATTAGAAGTGCTTCGAAAATTGGAAAAAACTGTGGCACAAGTGTATGATATCTGAGGGGAACTACTTTGAAAGGCCCAAATAGAAATTGATGAATAAATAGATATTTTTTTGAGGAAAATGAAAATTCACCTTATTTTTGGACAGCGTACATATTCAAATAGAGATTCTTTCACTAAATAGCTTTTGCATGTATATCAGTATAATAATAACGAATAATTAAGTTGTTTTCTTGGAAATATAAACTTTCTATTGTTAATGATGCCTTTTTTTTAAATGGGGAATGTTCCTCCTGACGCTATAAAATAACGCATTTTAAACTTATTATTTCAACCTTTTTCTTTAAAAAATTATTTAAATACTTGAAAAAGGGAAATGAAATAATGCATTCAACATTTAAAGGGATTCGTTTCTATTTCACCATTTGGCAACATCGGTTATAGCTAATAAAGGACAATGAATCTGTTACC